TTGAATCTACACTACCTGAGGATGCTTCCATATAAATATGAGCAATTATGGCTTTGCTATTCTTGAGAAGAAGATTTTTTAAAGAATTTTCCTTTATATTTCTATGTAAAACTTTGGTCGGCAATTGTGGCCCTGCCCTACCCCCGGGGGTCATGATTTTAACAAATTTGAATCTACACTACCTGGGGATGCTTACATATAAATATGAGCAATTATGGCTTTGCTGTTCTTGAGAAGAAGATTTTTAAAGAATTTTCCTATATATTTCTATGTAAAACTTTGGTCGGCAATTGTGGTCCCGCCCTACCCTCGGGGGTCATGATTTGAACAAACTTGAATCTACACTACCTGTGGATGCTTCCATATAAATATGAGCAATTCTGGCTTTGCTGTTCTTAAGAAGAAGATTTTTAAAGAATTTTCCTATATATTTCTATATAAAACTTTGGTCGGCCATTGTGGCCCCGCCCTACCCCCGGGGGTCACGATTTGAACAAACTTGAATCTACACTACCTGGGGATGCTTCCATATAAATATGAGCAATTCTGGCTTTGCTGTTCTTAAGAAGAAGATTTTTAAAGAATTTTCCTATATATTTCTATGTAAAACTTTGGTCAGCCATTGTGGCTCCGCCCTACCCCCGGGGGTCACGATTTGAACAAATTTGAATTTACACAACCTGAGGATGCTTCCATATAAATATGAGCAATTATGGCTTTGCTGTTCTTGAGAAGAAGATTTTTAAAGAATTTTCCTATATATTTCTATGTAAAACTTTGGTCGGCCATTGTGGCCCCGCCCTACCCCCGGGGGTCATGATTTGAACAAACTTGAATCTACACTACCTGGGGATGCTTCCATATAAATATGAGCAATTATGGCTCTGCTGTTCTTGAGAAGAAGATTTTTAAAGAATTTTCCTATATATTTCTATATAAAACTTTGGTCGGCCATTGTGGCCCCGCCCTACCCCCGGGGGACATGATTTGAACAAACTTGAATCTACACTACCTGAGGATGTTTCCCTATAAGTTTCAACTTTCCTGGCACAGTGGTTCTTAAGAAGAAGATTTTTAAAACATACCACCAAATTTTCACTAATTCTCAATTATCTCCCCTTGAATAAGGGCATGGCCCTTTATTTGAACAAACTTGAATCCCCTTCACCCAAGGATGCTTTGTGGCAAGTTTGGTCGAAATTGGCCCAGCGGTTCTTGAGAAGAAGTCGAAAATGTGAAAAGTTTACGGACAGACAGACAGACGGACAGATGGACGCCGGACAAAATGTGATCAGAAAAGCTCACTTGAGCCTTCGGCTCAGGTGAGCTAAAAAGTAGCTCCTTTTTTAAATTGATCAAACTAATATCTATAAAAAAAAGAAATCCAATCCAAACGAGCATAAAATTTTCATCTTACTTTGCGTGTTTAACATTCAGAATCTATCGAGTCAAGTCAGACAGAGGAATCTTTTTATTAACTTTTTTCCACAGTATCCTGTATACTTATACTTCCTGGGGAAAAATTCAATTTCATTACAACCCTACCCATTAATCTATAGGTGAAGAGAGTTGTATCATACCGTTCTGTGAATAAAGACGTCCGATACTTAATCAATATAATGTCCTTCTCTGCTCAAGGTCATTTTAGATCATTTGATTATATCTCTTGGTAACCTTTAATTACATGATCTCCTATTGAAAAAGAAACCTCATCACCTCATCAAAAAATATTGACCAATCAGGCATCCTTTATATGACTTCCTGTACAGATGAGGGGAATTATGGGAGATTACCTATGGCTTGGTTAATTGTTCTGCCTGGTTGATCTTCCCTGATGTGGAGGAATTGATTGAGTTCCACGTTATTGATTTAAGTTTTTATCCCGGTTTCTTCATCAATCACCCTTCACTTCCCCATCCCTCATCCCCCCCAAACTCGGACCACTTCAGGGGATCAACTGACAAAGACAAATCATACTCCATAAAGGCACAAAGATTTTTGATTTTTTTCCCATAAAGAGAATCAATGGCATTGAAGACAAGTTTGTTAATAAAGAAGAAAAAGTGTTCTGAAAATGGCATGGTCATTTATACAGATTGATTAAGATTTCATGGTTACTTAAGTCATTAGATGAAATAGTTTGTTGATTCCATACAAATATTTACTACTTCAAAATTAATAAACTGAAAGTTCTAAAATTATGGCTTTCCCTGTGAACTTTACATAACAACACTTTAATTCACAATCATGTACATGAAGTGGAAAGGCTAATTAGTTAAAAAAGTTATAAAATGATACAATGTTTTCAGATTTGTAGACAAATGAAATCACTACCTAAATCTGATACATTTTTCAAGGCTTCAAAATATTTTTTTGCAATAATTGGTGAGTTTTTTAAATCAAATATGACAGGACATGTCTTGCTGCTGACCAGTCATATTTAATTTAAAAAAAAATCACCAATTTTATTCAGTGAAGAGAATATAAACAAACTTCTATCATCCTAAACATGGAAATCAAGACCAAACAATCTCCCATTAAAAGTCATTTTGAATTTAATTTTTCCCCAATCAATGCATGGGCATATCACTGCACCATCATGTGCTGAGAATTTCTCTGCATGTTGTTGGAAAAGTGCATAAGTGGTATAACAATGACCAGACCCTGGGATCATGAAATGTCGAAATCTTTATGTTATACTAAAATGGTGTAGAAGTCAAGCAGACCAAAAGTAATATGTTTTTCAATGTTTCTCAAAAGTGTTTTAATCTGCAAAGAACTTTATTCGGTAATAACCAATATATGCCCCCCAAATCAAACTTCGATGGAGATATATTTAATTAAGTTCTTAAACAGGGGAGTATATGCTGACTTCAAAGTACTGAATATTTTCATAAGTAATGACGCCATATGTACGTAATGACGTCACAAACATGACGTAAATTTCAGTTTTTTATGAATTTTACAGAAAAATGTACATATTTCGTCGATGTTTTGAGTAAAAGTCACCGAGCGCATGTGTGTTCAGGATCAATCTTTTGATATAATGTGTAGAATGATAATATCAATGAAATATGTCAATATTGTTCTTGAACAAACTTGCGCTCTATAAATTTTAAAGCTAAAATTGTTGAAATTTTGTCCATTTTGTCCTCTTTCTGAAAAAGGATATAAAATTGGACTAGTTTGTGACGTCATAACAACAAAAATTGTGAATACACTGTTTTGACACTATAATATATTCTGTTAATTTATATTTCTCATACAATTTATTGAATTCAGCACATTTCAGGAATTTTTCAAAATTTGACTTTTGTGGGGGCAAATATATGCAATACATGTATACCGCATATAGTTCTTTAGACAGTATTTCAATAATTAATATACATTTAACGGAGGATTGTAAATTTTAATTTAAATCTAAGTAAATTTTATGAAAATGAGACTAGTAAACACTTATGAAACAAGAAATTCATGCATCTCCTCAGAAACAAATCATACCTTTGTACATAATGTGTCTAAAACTTAATTCTGACTTGTGAGCAAATTCAAGGGCTCCCCTGACAAGATCTAAATGTATTATGAAATAAAACATACGCTTTCGAAGCCATATTTCCCATGTCTAAAATCAAGTTTCTCACTGAAAATGGAGATAATGCCTGTATAATTTTTCCAATTTTTTTTTTTACAAATATTAATTTCCATATTTACATATTGTCATAGGGCCATCCTTAAAAAAATGTTTGTTTGGAATTGCCGCCTGAAAGGTTTCAGACACAGGAGGGAGGGAGGGAAATTATTTTATTTTTTTAAATTGAAGAAAATTTTTTCAATTTTTGATAAAAGTCTCAGTAAATAGTAAATACATTTTCTGACTTTTAAAAAAAGTATCTACCATCAACAAAAAAAACATAATTTTACATAGATATGGCACTATATTTCAGTGTTTTGTATGGTGCATGTGATACATGTAATGGGCAAAAAAATTGATCCAAAAAAAAAAAAAAATCTTCCTACTTTTGGTCAATAAAATTTTTTCAGGAGGGGGCAATTTCAATGAGGCGGGAGGCAATTCCAAACAAACTATAATTTTATTTTGGCCCAGTTACCTTTAGATTTAGAAATCTTTTTGTCTTTATTCCTCAGAAAATTTTTAGTGCTTAGTCTGTTCTCCTTCCAGTTTCTGAAATGTACAAGTTATTTTATAATTATCTGAAATTATTTAAATATACATGAGTTATCTTTCATGAATCCAAAGGCTACACTGCATGATGAATTTACACGGATACATTAATTAATACCTATATATTAATTATAACACCTGTCATACATACACAAATTATGATTTACCTGTTACCTGAGAGGAAAAAGCAGCCAATTTACAAAGTAGGTCAGCTGTCCACAGTCCAGAGGGTGTTAAACTGTTCTGCTGAACAGTCAAAGTAGATCTCTCACATACACAGGGTCTTTATATAGTCCTGCCGCCCGACTGGACAAGGTAAGACAAAACTGATGGAGAGGAACAGTCAACACTTCACGATTACTTCTAAAGTACAGAACACATGACAAGATACGCTGAATCACTCTCCTTATACAAAGTCTGACTTAATAATGGTAACATTATCACTCGGACATAAGTATGGGTAATTCTGTCATCAATACTTGGAGATGGTCACTTTTCCAAAGCATTGGCCAAATGACGACTTGGGTGTAATCTCTCACCCATTAAAACCAGTTCACTTTTCTGGTATAGATAATGCATGATGAGACTAAAGCACATTCAAAGTACATGTACAGTGTATTAAAATGCAAGTAATTCTTGAAGACACAAATTAAGTGTGCTAATCCCTTCCCCCATCTGTTGACAGCTGTTACGCCTAACTTTTTGTTCAATTTCACGCATTCCCCTCAATAAGTATCCCATGAACAGTGATTTTGATGGACGGTGGAGGATTTCAGGTGAGGTTGAATGTCACTTAAAACCAAAAACAGTTTTTTCTGGTCAGAATTAAAAGTTTCGAAGAAAAAACTTGTTAGATGTAACCCTGACACAGTGGTTATAATTCTGGATCGGTCACTCATTTGGTCAGTGGAATATTCGAGGACTTTAGCAGTGGTAGAATGTGGTCTCGATACAAGGGCATTAACTCTGTCTGCTGGAAGATCTCCTCTACTTCCGTCTGACTGTGACACTCTGTCACCTTAAAGTCCTGGAATCTGTAAAAGTAAGAATATGTACTCAAAAGAAAGTTACGTTCACGGTGTGTATTTACAGATTTAAGGTGACTTTAACTCTGCCTATAATTATCCTAACTTACCCTTTTCCCTCTATGACTCCCTGAGAGAGAACAGACATCATTCTCTCCTTACACTTCCTCCCTGGACTATCCACGTCTACATTACTACTCCTCTGTAACTTTATGTACTCCTAATAAAACATTTCATATCCGTGTGTCAACAGCCAATAACAGTGGCATTATTTCCTAGTTCAAGTATCTGAACATATATCCAAGACTTCAAGAATTATAAATAGTACGTGTTGAAATTTAGAGAAACCTAAAATTACTAAAATGTTTTGCATAACTACTTCAGAAATGGTGTAACTTATCAAAAATGTACATTAACCTTGATATCAGCTGAACGTCCCTGAAGAACTAAGAAGATGAGTTTCCCCACAAAGACCAGACATCCCTGTATAGAGAGGCTGGAGACCCACTTCTGGATGGTCTGTATGTAGCGAGTCTTAGATCTCATGTGATCCAGCATCAGTACTGCTGTAACCGTCCCCTCCCCCTGGTCATTTATCCCTGACCCCCCTCCCACGGCCTCTGAGGGTGCAGGTGTTTTCTGACTACCAATCTCATCAAGACTGTGGTCTGTGGTTTGAGCTGAAAATACATGTATCAATAATTTATTAAAATAGATCAGGATTTTGTTGGAAAAAAATATGTCTTTAAAGAATTATTTAAAGTCTAAAACAAGAGGCCCAAGGGCCACATCGCTCACCTGAGAAGCTTTGTCCATTCTGTTCTTCACCCTTGTTATACATAATGCATCCCCACCCTACCCCACTGATCATTATTTAGACATTTTGAAATCTACACTACCCCATGATCCTTCCATGGGCACATGTGTTTCAGCTTTTTTGGCCCAGTGGTTCCTGAGAAGATTTTCAAAGATTTTTCCTATATATCTCTATGTAAAACTTTGATTCCCTATAATGGCCCCGCCCTTCCCCCGGGGGTCATGATTCCTACAATTTAGAATTTACACTACCCCAGAATGCTTCTACATAAGCTTCACTTTTTCTGGCCCAGTGGTTCTTGAGAAGAAAATTTTCAAAGATTTTTCCTATATATTTCTATATAAAACTTTGATTCCCCATTGTGGCCCCGCCCTTCCCCTGGGGGTCATTATTTTAACAATCTAGAATCAACATTATACCAGGATGCTTCCAAATAAGTTTCAGCTTTTCTGGCCCAGTGGTTCTTGAGAAGAAGATTTTCAAAGATTTGTCCTATATATTTCTATGTAAAACTTTGATACCCCATTGTGGCCCCGCCCTTCCCCTGGGGATCATGATTTGGACAATTTAAAATCTACATTATACCAGGATGCTTCCACATAAGTTTCAGATTTTCTGGCCCAGTGGTTCTTGAGAAGAAGATTTTCAAAAATGTTTCCTATATATTTCTATATAAAAATTTGATTCCCCGTTGTGGCCCCACCCATCCCCCGGGGGTCATGATTTGAACAATTTAGAATCTACATTATACCAGGATGCTTCCTTAAGTTTTAGCTTTTCTGGCCCATGCAGTGGTTTTTCAGATTTTTCACGATTTTTCCTATATATTTCAATGTAAAACTTGGATTCTCCATTGTGGCCCCGCCCTTCCCCCTGTGGTGATGATTTGAACAATTTAAAATCTACACTATACCAGGATGCTTCCATATTAGTTTCAGCTTTTCTGGCCCAGTGGTTCTTGAGAAGAAGATTTTCAAAAATTTTTCCTATATATTTCTATATAAAACTTTGATTCCCCATTGTGGCCCCGCCCTTCCCCCGGGGGTCATGATTTGAACAATTTAGAATCTACATTATACCAGGATGCTTCCACATAAGTTTCAGCTTTACTGGCCCAGTGGTTCTTGAGAAGAAGATTTTTTAATGACCCCACCCTATTTTTGTCTTTTCTTGATTATCTCCCCTTGCGAGGGGATATGTCCCTTCATTTTAACAATTTTAATTCCCCTTTACCCAAGGATGCTTTGTACCAAGTTTGGTCAAAATTGGCCCAGTGGTTCTTGAGAAGAAGTAGAAAATGTGAAAAGTTTACAGACGGACAGACAGATGGACAGACGGACGGACGACGGACAAAATGTGATCAGAAAAGCTCACTTGAGCCTTCGGCTCAGGTGAGCTAAAAAGTTGGAGGTTGAGGACATAAAAGCCTTTAGTAACCAAAACACTGATACATGTATGTAACGCATGTTAAAAAAGCACTGATATTACATGAATCTCATCTGATATGTGATACTGAATTGTAAGAGTGTTGAGATTTGTACATAAATTCTGTTGGGTTCCTCTTTATACACAAACCATACCTTCCACTGAGACTCTGTGATTTATCATTTCCTGAGCTTGATTCAGTAAGTCAGTTATCATGGGGCTACCCTCTAAACGTGCGCTCAAGTCAGTGAGGCAGGTCATCAGTTCCCGTGACAACGACCTGTCTTCACACTGACAGGATATTGTTGGTGGTTGCCCTGGATACAAGGAAGGAAACTGCATTCTGACTGTGACTGTAGGAGTTACTACCCCTTCTCCTTGAAGCCTCACCACCAGCTCTGGACTGCCTGCTGTGTCTATCAGAGAATACAGTTTTGTTTTCTAAGTTATGCAGTCCAGAAACAACATATGTATACTGCAATAATCATTTCAAAAATATTTACAAATGATCTGCCTCTTTGAAATCTATGAAATAATTTAAACACTGACCATTGATGACACACTCTCCCTGCCGACAGTAAATGGACTGGACAACTTCCAGTTCTTCCCATAAATCTTCTGACATACCAAGTCTACTCTGATCTTATGTTTCTACAGAATTAGGAACAAAGATTCAAAGTTTATTCCCAACAGAACTGTCTGCACCAATTAACAATTGACTTTCCATTTGTTCCAATTTGAAATACAGTTACTACAGGAGGCATTTTAAAATGTTTTGCTCTTTTAAAATTTTCATTCTTAATTGTCTTCATTTTCTTTTAAGAATTATTTCTATAGAATAGAATAGAATAGAATTTATTTCCAATCATGGACCCACTGGGGGCATAACACAGATACAAGCATAATATCACATAAAATAGAGAAAGTGTACATAATAAAAATATTCAATCAATTTTACCATGGTGGTGTGCAATATTGTAAATACAATGTAGTAATGTTCAAAAATCACATAATTACATGTATATCTTTCTGTTATTATCTGTGAAGAGAATAGCAAGTGCAGCAAGGCGGCGCGAAGCATAACGAGCTCAATACACTAACATGTTCGAAAGAAGGAATTCGGGTTGAAATCTGCACATTGTTCAAAAAAAATTTTATCGTACCACATGAAAAAATTCTTCATTCGCAATAATCCTTTGAGGTGCATAGCAACATGGTGGCTAAAACATAGCAACAACTTACATTAAAAAAATACAAAAAACAATTTAATGCAATCTCCATGCCATAAAACTATCATTTGCATCCTTTAGTTAGCAGGACTTTTTATCTGACGTCATACTTTCGTCACTTGTCTTCAAGGTTTGGGTATTTCTGTATTTTTCCGAAACTTCCGAGAAGTTCGGAATCTGGATCCTGATGCTTAGGAAGTGATTTTTTTTCTTGAATGATAGTCATTACACGTGAAAGTTCATGATAGTACATAGCTGCAGCTCTCCAAAAAAATATATTGATAGACTGGAGAGCTACAGAGCCACCCATTGAAAAAACTGTATATTTATTGCGCACAAAAAAATGCACTTGGTTCTCGATTTATTTCTCCATGTTTTTAAAGCTGTAATCTCAAAATATTACTAACCGTGTGTTCCTAACATATTCTTTGACTCTTTCCACAATAAAACTTTCCTCATAATTGTTGTTAATAGTCCTCCTGGCCCTGATATTGCAATCATCAGACATTTCGCTTTAAATATTTATACTGCCATTTTGGTTTCAAAGATAATTCGGTCCAATATGCTTCGTTCAGATGTCAACTACGAGAGAACGTGATAGAGGAGAGAGTAATTTTTTGAAATCTTTGATTTTTTGCACTTAAAGGCAGAGATTTTAAGCACCGGCCGCCTTCAAAACTACCTGGTCTGGGTAGCCTTGTCAATCAAGTATATGAAGGTCCGTCATTGGATGCTGGGACTTGATTGACATTTACTTACTGGTCCCTGTGTATACCCTGTAAACCTTGTTTGGGACTCGTGGTGACTTCTAATTAACTTTTGCTCCTTTGATGTTTACTGAGCATGGTATACACACAAACTACATGTATTTCTTTGAAAAATTTTAGATTGATAATGTATGAATTAAATAAATATACCTTAAGTATTTGAAAGGATTATAATATAATATTCATTTTCTTTTTTAAAATTAACCTTTAGTACACAAAACTTTGTTTTCAAATGAATTTTCGATATTAATTTTAATATGCTAAATGGTAAACCTAAAGTAGAAATGTTATTGATAAAGTTCAGAGCAGCACTGTGTGAAGTAATTTAATTTAAAAATAAAGTTTCTAATCATGGGTCACTTATATTTTCCTTTTTTTATTCAGGTAAGAATTTGCAAGCAATGTTGTAGCATGTTCCATGGTGACAAAGTCTTATTAGGGTCAGAGTAAACCATATAGATATTTTTTTAAAGAATGTATTGAACACGACTCTCTTTTCATTTAATTCATAAATGGGATCATGGGAATGAATGAACTAAGTTTAATTTATAGATGTTACAGGAGTTTTTTTCTAATTAACACATACACAAACATCTAAAACAATCTTTGTTTTAATATTTGAATTTATTGTATGATATCATTATAATTTTTTAAATGGGTAGGGGTGTTTCCAAACAGTCAAAAATAAATCAAATATATAATTGAAAAAAACTTGTTACTACTACTTCTAAAATTGTCTCAAAATCCCCAACACAGGTATAGTTTGACATCTGGGTATTTCACTGTGTATTAAATCACTTCCTGTGTATAGGGACTAGGAGACAGACGGCCACAGGTAGACTGCTAGCCCTCAAGGCATTCACACCTGTACAGAATAAGCCCCTCCCTCACCTGGAATTTACCACCCGGTAAAAAATCTCTGCCTTTAAGGTAAGAATTTGGAAAAATTAATCAAGAATCGAGCGCACTTTTTTGTGCGCAATAAATATACAGTTTTTTCAATGGGTGGCACTGTAGCTCTCCAGTCTATCAATATATATTTTTTGGAGAGCTATACATATCTGCAGCTAGATAGTACATGTACATAACTGCGCTTGCCCCATTGGCCCAACAGTCACACCATAAAACATATTATGGTAAAGCTGTAGATGAAGAAGGAAGACTTTATGGAAAAAAATCTTCAGTTTAAATTTTTGGTATCTTTGTTAAGAATCTAAATCAACTTGTAACAATACCCTAACCCTAACCCTAACCATGTCATGCAAGTTATTAAAACAGTAATCTGGTTCTGTAATAATGGAAAGTCTGTGAATTACCATGCAAATAACGTCCTGAAACTGACCCGCAAACCATATAGACCAAAGAAATGGACATACTGATTTCCCTCACTTCTCTCTTTCAGTCTTTGGCTAAACGGTGCTTACTTCTATTTGACTCTTGTAAGATATTGTCAAGACATTCTCATGTCTTTAAAGATGCATGAAAATAAATTAATCTTGTAATTAAAATTGTAAACAATGTGAATGATTTAACGAACCAGTCGAAGTCCTCAAACTGAAGAGAGAAGTTTTGCCCAACACATGTGATGTTGCAACTGGAAATTCAATTACTGTGATAAAAGCGAAAAATTAATAGCTGGAGATATTTATTTCCGAAAAAATGTAGGTACACGCACCTGAACCCATACCTGTTATATGTCTTCTCATACACATCAAATAAATAAAATATCAAATGCCGATATCAAACATGATCAAATAATGCCTTAAACTGAAAAAAGATCTTAAGCATCTCAATATTCTTGTCACCTTTGGCTATTTGGTTTTTGTATGATTTTGTGACGATGAGACGATGGAAGGACTGCGACTGGCTTGCTTAATTAATCAGCATTCAATGTTCTCGCATTTCACGAATATATTCAATACATGTGTATTTCAAATACTGAAAGACATTTTTAAAGAGAATTCGATTACATTGTTTGTTTTTTTTTTATTCGATATTGGGAATAGGAGCACAGACACTTGGTTCAGAAATAATTTTGAACCCATCAGTATACATGGTATAATAATAATGATAATGCACACCTTCAACTGTGTTACTATTACAGTGTATACTATGGGACTGTGGGTTCAAATTTATTTCCGAAACAATCCTTTTTCGCGGTGCTGGCGGTGGTGGCGGTGGGGGGGGGGGGGGGGATGAACATCTTTCATTGCCAAGATTTTTTTCCAAACGATTTTACTTACCCTTCTTTGATTACACTTATCTGTGAATTTACCTAATCAAAAAACGTAACATTATTTTTCTTAATTACAAGTATATAACTTAATATTTTGATAATAATTCTGAAGGTAACGAAGGAGATATAGATATATTTATATGCGTATGTATAAGCATATTAGGCCTATCTCTCTATAATGCAACAGGCCACATTTTTTCTAAATCAACAGTTAAATACCCAGAATTCCCATGACTGCATATTGCAAATGGGATTTCCTACAAAGGAGCATAAAATCTTCGTTTTTTTTTGCCTGACGTCAGGCTGTATAAGGATTGATATTTCCAAGGTGCGAAGAGAAGAGGTCACAGTTAGCCAGCAAAATTTTGTGCATGCTGATTATCACTGGAATTTGTTACCTCCGTTTCAACAAAACATTTAGCAGAAAAAAATTACCGTCTTACTGATACAATATATTGATGTGTATATTTCCTTTAGTTTTTTTGCATGCAGCTGTTTATTTCATGCGATTTCATATACGAACATGTCCGTTTGACCTTTTTTCTGCGTTTCTATACTATTGGATGAGTCCATTTGTCTTCTAGGTAAGGGGTGTCACAATCATATGCATAACGGACTGCTTCCAACAATCGTAACTGATGCTCTGACATACCCAACAATCTAGTACTTAAACATATTCTGCATGTTAATCATAACGATTCATTTATTTCTTGTAGTTATCATATTCTCAGCTGTCTTCCTGGTAGTCTATGCAGTTGAATCTAAATATAAAAGGTAAAAAAGAAATGAAATAAATATTTCTCTTCATTGACCCTGAATAGAGATACCATTTATTTTTTGGCAAGTGTAAACTATATACTGCATGACTAAACATGGTTTGTATATTGAAATATGAAATGGTTTCTTTAATGCTTAAATCATTATACTCCTACTGTCCTAGTGAGAATTATGCTCAATCAACTTTGTGAAATATTCCCAACTTCCAATGCTTCTTATTTACATTAAAAAAAAACTGACTCAAATAAAATTGTTTGTTTTCTCATTTATTTTACAAGGAATTACATGGTAACAGTGAATCTAATCATTTTTTAAACTGGTTAAAGTAATGTTTACAATTGTCTTAAAATGCTCAAATGCAAGTTTATTTCATAAACAAATACCTTAAGTGTATAGACTAAATGTACTTATAGATTCAATATATAGATTAACCCCTTATAAATAGTAAAAATCATTTCTTAAACCTGATTTTCTTGCCTATTCTCTCATGCATTACCTAATTTGAGTTGAGTATTCTCAAATTATTGATTACATGAAAAAACAAATTTAAGACAAAACCGCAATATATGCTGAATGCCCTTAAATGAAATGGTTACATATGTAAGATGTATAACACATCATGTACAACTTTTAAGTCTACAAAATTTAAAGTTAACC